ATTGATTCACTCTTCAAAAAATAATAAGAACAAATTGTCCTTCAAATCTCAATCAAAATAAATCATCCATTATTTAACGTGTGATGCTATCATATGTTAATTTTTCATTAAAAACATGCTTAGGTGGTAAATAAATTTCTAATATATGATGATATTTCACATAAAATAATTAGTGATTTGTTTTAATTGATAATTTTAAAAAACAATTTAAGTCTAATTTTTTAATGAATGAATGTCTTTACCTTCTTATTTGAGGAGCAAATTTAAGGGATCTGTCAAATATTAACTATTAAATTAAAAGAAATCTCTTGTTAACAAGAGAAAGTCCTTTCATCTAATATCTAACATTTTACCATTCAATACAATTTAAACTACAAAATATCAAACTCTTATTATAGTTAGTTCTTTAGGCCTCCGTCAAAACTTTTCCAAAGTCTCTAAAATTATTAATTTAGGCCTGATGAATTTGGGGCCCAATCTCTCGAATGGGTCGAGAAATTAGCTGGATTTGAATATATTGTATTTAAAATTAGTGTCATTGGGTGAAATTTTGGATCTCTCCCAGCCGAAAGCAATAGCCCAATCTTCACCCATTTCACAAAGGTCAGAATGTTCGAGGTCTCCAAACTTAAGCCGGCTTTCATGTCACAGCCGGCTTACCGTTAGGCAAATGCGACTTGAACTAGCGGTAGAGCCGGCTCTACCATTAAAGCCGGTTCTCCTGTACGGTTTTTATGTTCAGCCCTTTCTCTCTCTTCGCATTCTAGGTTTGTTTTCTCTCCAAAAAAAATCACACCGATTCTCCTCCCAAACACCCAAATCTCACCAGATCTGCCACACACACCATCTACACACTCAAATATCTCTAAATCCTTGCGTACCCAAGACCAATCTTCAAGTTTTTGCTGCAATTTTGTGTGGAAGCTGTTGTGTTCTCTCTCATGGCTTCAAGAAGGGGTGGAAGCAAAAGGCAACAAGTTGGCCGTTTAAGTGCGGGGGGTAGGCTCAAAAAGAAGGTAATCTCTTTGATTCTGATCTATTCTTATGATAATCATAATTTCTTAAAGAATTTACTTGTTTTATCTTGCAATAATATGAAATTCAGTCAATTTGATATGCATACAGGGGAGATATTTAAAGAAATTAAGTGGATTAATTTTATAGAAATTAAGTAACCTGTACAATGATGGTTGTTAACAGTCTGATCAAGCTTTCCGTCCATAGAATCCATGCGTACTCTCATCTCATCACAAAAGTTATAGAAATTAGTGTGCAGCTGCTTAATCTCATTAACCATAAGCTTTAAGGTTTCCTGGTGAGTTCTTTGCATTGTGACTTGAAAGGGCTTTCGGCTTTCACTTCTATATCCTTCTTCCTCTTGCTCTTGCATGCTGTGGTCCCCATCTCCTTCATCTTCATCCCCTTGTTGTTCCATTGGTTGATCCCTTTCTTCATCCAAACATCATTTTTGAGCTCATAATGCATATTTTCAAAAAAAGCCTTGTTGAGTGTAGTTCCAGCTTTTATCTTCCTAAGTCTATAAAGTGTAAGACCAATATTATTTCTTTTCGCCAATCTAGTAAGCAGAGTACCATGAGGAAGTCCTATATCAGTTGAGAAATTCTTTATCATGTTCCGGTAAATAAATTTTTCAAGATTTAGTCCTTTCCTCTTGAGAAAATAATCAAACCACAAGAGATCACTGACAAGTGCAGCAGATTTATAGCCCTTTCTTTGAGTAATAATGTGACTAATAATCCACTATAATGCTCTGTTTTCTGGTGTAAGAAGGCCTACATTAATTTAACCTGTAGTGCAATTTGAGGCAATAGTGGCTCTGACTAGTGTTGTATTCACATCTTAAAATTCATTATCTCCTCCCTCAGGTATTTCTAATATATTACAAATTTCCTTAGGTGAGAACGAAATGGGTATCCCAGAAACCATGGTTTTGCACTTCTCTTTTTTTAGTTTCAAATTGCTATATAACTGATAAACAACATCATTGTACACACAGGTTCTTTAATTTCTAGAAAATTAATCCACTCAATTTCTCTAAATATCTCCTCTACGTGCATATCACCTTGAGTAAATTAATTGAATTTCACATTATTGCAAGGTAGAATAAGCAAATTCTTCAAGAAATTGTATTTATCATAGGCTTCCTTATCCCAAAATAAATTAAAATCAAAGAGATTACCTTCTTCCTGAGCTTGACTCCCTGCACCTGAACTGCCAACTTGTTTCTTTTTTCCTCCACCCCCACCTGATGCCACCTAACTTGATGTTTCTCTCTTTTGGCTAATCTTTAGGCTGGGCATCTTAGGCACGTGCATTTTAAAATTTTTTTAGGATGAATTGTATTCTATTATCTTGTGTTTGTTCATAAAGTTAACTGCTATACTGTTCTTCATTATCTTTGCGTGTTTCTTTAACTTATTATCATGAGCTGTGAATTTTAATGGTATATGACTTTGTAGTTGCCTATGATTTTGATGATTACATTCTTAAGTGCTTTCATTGAGGTGGAGTAATCTATGGATATTGTGCTTAAATTACATATTTTTGATGATGTAAATGTTGATATGCATGAGTTAAGGGGGAGCTTATTTGGTTATGTTTCTATACTTTTTTATGGATGACAAAAAGGGGAGAAAGTATGCTGATTTTTTATGGTTTACTGTCATTTTCTAGATTGCTTTGGTGCTAAAATTTCTTGTTAATATTGGACTACATATGTGCTTTCATCAATTTATTCTCAAAGTGTTTGATCATCATCCAAAAAGGAGAGATTGTTGTACTTATGATTTTGATGATTATAAAATACATTTGAATGATTAACTTGTTCATCTAAATGTGTAGAAGATTGCAAAAGTAAGTGAATTTGGACTACACTAAAAATGGATCAAAAATGATGAATTGGGTGTAGAGAGCCAGCTCTACATTTTTGTAGTAGGCTTTGGTGAAAAAAGTACAAAGAGCTAGCTTTCAACACTGCAGCTGGCTTTATGGGTGGAAGCTTTAAACCTGCAGTTCGGCGCATGTGGAAAATGGACACAAAGCTGGCTATAACTTTGCAGTAGTTTGTGATGGCACATTTAATGCTCAACAGTCAAGTTATTTAAAGGATTTTTTTAATCTTTTAAAGTCAGATTTCTTAAACTGCCTTTACATTTTGCAATCAACTTTTCAAAAAAATAGAATGTGCAAGAAGAGCAAGAAAGTTGGCCCTAGGGATGAAAGTTGGCTTTGCAAAGTCAGTTATGAAGGTAGAGCTAGCTTTATTGACAAATCTGCAGTGAACTAAAATTGATCTGTTGAGCATTTAATGAATCATAACGGCTAGAAACAGCTATTTTTGACCAACGAGATATAAAAATGGTTGTAGAAAATCTGAAACAAGTTTTTAGATATTATACTGAATATCTTTACCTACCAATTTGTGTTTTAACTTGAGATTTTGATCTTTGAGTAATTTTTGCTTGTAATCCTTTTATGGTTCTATTTGTGAGTTATCTTAGAGGTATGATTATTCTTTCAAAAATGATTTGTAGTGAGGATCTTAGGTTTGTCTTGTAAAGGGGTAAGATTTGAGAGAAAATCTCATCTTCTTGTAAGAGGATTAAGTGGCTTCTTTAAGGAGGATTAAGTGGCTTCTTTAAGCTACCCTTGTTCTTCTTAGTGGAGAGTGAGGAAATTTTTGGTGAATGAAACTAAGATAGAGAATTAGGCTTCAAGTGATTGGATTGAAACTTTATAAAATTATTGTGTAAACTCTTCTTCCTTACTCTTTTTAATTTTTTACTTTATGGTTGTAAAAATAAAGAAATTTTTAAACTCCAATTTACCTCCCTCTTGGAGTGCATTGAGCCAACATGTAAGTCCATGTTACATTCAACTTAGACATTACAACACAATTTTAGTAATTCAAATCATATTTTATAATAAATCAACATAAACTTCCAATATACATACACACACATATATATATATATATATGTGATCAGTACAATTGTACAAGACAAAGATTCAAACTTGAAATTTCAAAATTTCAAGTCAACAATCACGATCCTTGCTCATACGTTTATGTTTATACTTATCTATATACCCCAGAGGTGCAAACAGCTTTCAATGCAGAGCCTCTGAACTGGAGTTTTTGTAGAAATTTTAATTGACTGATAGCCCCAGGACAATCTTACTTGTTGTCCAAACCCTCATGGCAAGTGGGATTAGAGTGTGGGTTTACAGGTAATTAGCCTCAATTTATTTCAACAAATTTTTAATTAATCAATTTTCTTTACAATTAAGATCGTTCACCTTATATTGAATAATATATGGATCAAATATCATTTTTTGCAGTGGTGACACTGATGCAGTTGTTCTAGTTAGATCGTCTAGATACTCCATTGATACATTAAACCTTACAATCAAGACTCCTTAGCATCCACGGTACCTCAATAATAAGGTAAAAAATAGAAAAACAAAAAGGGGTTTCACACAATTTATTTATTTATTTTTTGAATATTTATAATTTCTGGGGAAGAAGGGTGACCTTGATCTAAAAGCAAGGTTTTTAAATTTAATGGGTAACAATTCCACCAAAAAAATCTTCTTGTATGAAAATATGTATATTTGAAAGCCTACAAACCATTTTTTTGGGGGGGTAGGGAGAGCATTAGGAGGGCATTCAATTCGCTGATGCATGATTTAGATCAATTTTGACAAGTTGGAGGATATGTTGAGGAATATGAAGCAAGTTGGAGGATATGTTGAGGATTATGAAGGATTGACATTCGTTAGGGTGAGAGGAGCTAGACATATGGTTCCAACATTCCAACCGGAGCGTTCTTTTACCATGCTTTCTTCAAAGAAATTCACCTCCCTCGTAGTGATACTCCTGTTGGTTCACCTATTGTTAAAAATTTGAAAGGACTATTTCTTAATAGAAGAAAAGAAACAAAGGTTCACTTTTCATATATATATATAACGAATATTAACTTCTCGTGGAGTCCATATGTAGGCTTGGCATGGTTTCAGTCTAACTGAAATCAAATTTTCAACTTTTTTTTTTTGTCATTTTTATTAACCAAAAATGAATTTAATTTTTTCTAGATTTTTTTGTCAGTAACCAAAATAATCAGTTTTAATATTTCAGTTATTGGTTATAACCAGCCTGTTTCAAGTTTAATAATGAATATATTTAATCAAAATTTGAAATTTTTAAGGAATATAAAATATACCAAAATGCAAAAAAGATGACTAAATGAGAGTAAAATATAAATTTTAAGTTTCATTTTTTTTACTTTTAAATACATTTTAAATTTAAATACTAAATTATAATAAAGTTTATAAAATAAAACTAAAAAATGAAATTAAATAAGATGGTCTTATATTTATTTATAATATTTATTAATATAAAATTTTATTTTCAATTATATATCTAGTTTTGGATTTTCAACTCTCTAATTATTAACTGACCAAATTTTTTTGGTTATCCAACTAAAATTGGAAAAAAAAAAACCATTTACATCTAACCATTTGGTTAATCTTTTAACGATTTTCAATTACCCATTTGGTTAACCGACCATTTGCCTAACTTTATCCACATGGGCAAATCCTAAATCTCAATGGGAATCTCCCTATAGGAATCGAATGATTAGACATTCATTAATGTGTCAGCCAAAAAATAAAAAGTAAAAAAATCCATTAAACTTAGCCACCTTATCAATTACAAACCCAATTTTTTTTGCTATTTTCCCACTTGTTTTAACCCCAATTGTAGGTACCTTCCATCCTCAATCCTCTTATTTCATGTTCTATTGAATTTCTGTTTGGGTCCATTGTATTCTTCTTCATCTTTATCTGTTTTGATCTCATAATTCTAGTATTTGCTTAAACCTAGAAGACCCAAAAAGGTAAAGAAAGCAAAAATGCTTTTCTCCTATAATCTCATCTTCTTTTTTTTTTCTTTTTTTGCGAATTCTTGCTTAACCCTATAATGTTTCGTTGATTGATGATGATGCCTAGGTCTGCTGCATTCTTGTGGGAAATCAAGCAAGTGGATCCTACCTAGTTTTGATCATGCTTGGGCTTGATTAGGACATAGTTTTGATCATGCTTAGGCTTGATTAGGACATCAAGCATGTGGATCCTGTACTTGTGGTCTGGTTGGCCTAGTTTTAATTGTGCTTGGGCTTGATTAGAACATAGTTTTGATTGTGCTTGGGCTTGATTAGAACATAGTTTTGATTGTGCTTGGGCTTGATCAAAACTATGTTCTGATTGTGTTTGGGCTTGATTAGAACGTAGTTTTGATTGTGTTTGGGCTTGATTAGAACGTAGTTTTGATTGTGTTTGGGCTTGATTAGAACGTAGTTTTGATTGTGTTTGGGCTTGATTAGGACATCAAGCATATGGATCCTATAGTTGTGGCTTGGTGGACCTAGTTTTGATGGTGCTTGTGTTTGATTAGAACATTAAGCATTTAAGTGAGGGAGATCTAATTGTGCTAGGATATCAAGCATTTAAATGAACACAAGCATCATCATCAATCAAAGAAACATTATAGGGGTTTCATGATGTCTTTGGGAAAATATAGGTTGCATATAGTTTTCTAAGATTGTTACCTTATGTCCCCTTTGTCATTCATGGCCAAAAGTGGTTTCATAATGTCTCTGGGAAAATATGTGTCCCCTTCATGATCTTTTACCAGGTTTTAATTAGTGTTATCCAAATTCATATTAATCTTCTTTCCATGTTTTTATCTATATAAATTGCTACATTTTAAAGGATTGGAGATTAAAGCTCCAAGAATATGAGAAAGAAGGCAGACTTTATAATGTTCCCAACTCTGGACTCCAAGAAAATAAACTTGTTTTGTAATAATCAACATGTTGTAAATTCACTTGAATCATGGTTGTCTTGAGATTTTCTTTTAATTGCTCACAAAATCATGTTAGTTCATTACACAATACAAGAAACTTGTGGAAGGTTTTGTCAATAGTTCTCTCTCAATATCCATAAGGAAATAAGTTGTTTGCATGACCCTATCTCCTTTTTAAATGGCTAATTGAGATTTCCAAAGTATCAAAATGTTAGAAATCCCTAACTTCATCATACTAAAGGTTTGATGTAGATTATGCCGATTGTTATATGAATTGTTGTTCATTAACATTATTTTATATTCTATTATATGCTTATATATATTTAAGTTGTATTATGTGCCTATCCCATCATGAAATATGCTTTTTTTGTATTTGTTACTTAAGACAATTGATTTATTGTATAGGATAGAGGGGATACATAGTAGGACAATATAAAGAAATGGGATGGTGAAAATGGCATATCACCTTTGCAACTACAATGTTGTGCAGAATTACAATTTCTATTCATGTTAGTATTGTAGCAATGAATGGCAAGTGACTTATCTGTTCTTCTCTTCTTATTTTAGTTTTTGGCATTGATTGCATTCTCAGCTCAACTAATGTCAAAGACTTAAAGTTTGTAGGCTTTTGTGTTTTCCTACTGTCTTAGATTTTCACACACAAGTTTCTAGCAACATGGGCTTAAAACTTAAAAACTGGTGAATGGTTGTGGTCAAATGCTATTTTATCAAGACTGTTGATAACGATTTAGTTTGTAATTGCATGATAGAAATATGCAAAAGAATTTACTTGGATTCATTTACCTCAAAACACTGTACTCCAAGGGAAACAATCTAATCATTATAGTTGGTTTGGACTCACATCTCACCTATCATGATTGTTTTCAAATTCTGTCTACATGTACCCAAAACTGATTATTAGCCATTGAAAATCTTTTATGAATGATAGCTCTTAAATGAATTGTCAAATCTAGGAAACTAAAAAGTATTGGCTTGCTACTTATTAGCACATCTGACGACCAAATGACTTTAGGAGCTATATTGGAGCCCATATTCAGAGAGAGTCTCGAGCAGTAGCCAAAACAGGTGTAGAAGGATGTCGGGCAATTCGGGTCATTTGTATGTGGTTGTTCCTCAGCTGACTCTTTGGACCACAAGTTTTTTTGTCTTATATGTACAATTTAAAACGATCATTTGTGGTGCCTATAACATAATCATCTTCCTCTAAAAAAGCTTGTGGAATTGAAGCCATGGTAATCTACACCACCTTTGTAAGTCATCACTTTTGCATGAAGCCTCTTTTTCCCTGCTTCCTTAATTGAAGAAACGCTTAGCAAACTTGGTGATGCGGTCTTATCAAATGGAAAAATCTAACTTTTCTCTTGAAAAACTAGTAATTCGCTTTTGCATGAGTAAGCAATTTTTTTTAATCCAATCCACTGTTTGTGAAGTTTTATAGTCCAAGTCATTGTGTCATCTCCATTGGAGCATCTTTTGCAACATTGCACTTCCTAATGTCATATGTTCTAAGAGTCAAGTTAGAACCTCCAAGATTCACCTGCAAAGAGGTATAGCACAAGATACAATTTTAAGAAGTACTAATATATATAAACCTCTTAAAGAATACTAATATATCAAGTCTATCCATATAGCTTTTGACATTCAAATCAGTATACCATGTTTACCAAGGCAAGTTGGTTTATGGAACTTGATTGAAGTGTTACGGCAAGAAAAGTTAATTAATTCACTTGATAATGCTATTTCTATTCTTTCATTCATTCACTCAAGCTAAACCCATATATCAAGGATTTGTGAGTTGCATCAAGGATTTAACCAGCAAGCAACACACACATATATTGCGACAAAGAATATGTATATATATATACACCTCCCTTGAAAAACCACAGGTCATTATTTTCTCATCATTTGATGATTGTGGCATGATCTAAAGATCAGTCAAGTAATGCTGGTGATGTGGGAAGGAAAACTTTTCGCTCTTTGACCCTGATTTTTCACCCTTTGTTCACATTCCCACTCTTAGTATTTGATCTCTTTCCCCGTTGCTACAACAAGTAATCTCCCAATGGAGTTGAAGGTCATTGCATTCACATCTTCATTACCATTTTTCAATAGCACATATAGTTGTGGATTATTGTCCATAGAAAACTGCACAACCACATATTAATACATTAAATTTTAAAAGAATGTAGTAGAAGGAATCGAACTCCAAATTTACCTTTTAAATGAAAAACAAGCACTAAAACCAAACATCATATAACAATATTTTAGGTTTTTTTTTTAATTTAATTTTTACCCAATAAAGCAAAATATTTTTGGCCGATGACTAGTTTCCAGGCTCACCTTTGAGACCTGTCTGCTATAAGAACCAACCTTAGGCCCTTTGCTGGGTTACCCTGCCAATTCTCAACTGAGGTGCAATATTACATTACCTACTTCATCCAATGTGTAGCTATAGTAGTTAGGAGGCCTATAGCTACACTTTTTGGAGATTTAGTTATATTTTTTAGGTGTAGGTAAATGACAATTATGGTGTAATGCGCTATCTTTCTGGTGGTATATATATATATATTGAATAAAATGTAAAGTTTTATTTATTCAATAAAATTGGTATGTTCACATAAGCAGTGAGTCATTTGCTACTACAATCAATTACAACTCCAACCAAAGAAAGAATTCATTTATCTAAGATTGTACTAGTGAGTTGAGAACCTCTATAACCCCCATTGCACTACTATGGACATTGGCAGTGAAGAGGACTTAGGTGTTATGAAGGCTAAAACCTTGTTCCTCACATCAAAAAGATTATTATTCACAATCTATGAAATAGATTTTGAACTGTTACTTGTGAATTCTTTTGTTTCTCTCACTCCAAACGTGATATATAGCAGCATTTCATGCAAGCTTTATAAAAGCATAGTATAAGGACTTCCTTCTAATTGTTTCCACCTTTCAAGCTAATGGCCCTTGCCAAGAACAAAATAAAGGAATTCCTACAATGTTGCAAATAGTTTGCCATACTTGTTTTGTAAATTGGCTTGAAAAAACAAGTGATCATTAGTTTTTACTCTTGAGTTGCAAAATAAGCATCATCAATACTAGGGGTTCACTTCTTTTGTCTACTTCTCATTGTTAATCTATTCAATATTACTACCCAACAAATGAAACCATGCTTTGGAGTTGCATGTGAGAACCAAACCAACTTGTGCCACGACACTTTCCCTAGCTTAGCTCATAGATAGTGCCATACACTACTTAATTTGAACACTCCAAAAGAAGAGGCTATCCAAATAACTAAGTCTTTCTCTCCACTTTTAGGATATCATGTGTCAAACAAAGCCATCTAAATTTGTACAAGGTGTGGTGATCAAGTAGGAGATCAATCCCAAAAGTTTCAATCTACTACTTCTAATACTTTGGCAAATAACTAACTAGAGTTTGGTACAATCTTAGCGTCACATATAAGCATTAGTGGACGTGAGGGGTGCCAATAGTTATGCCAATGGAAGATATCAATGCCATCACTAAGTACATGCTATATTAATCCTCTAGCATGGCTACTAAGTTTTAGGCTTTTCCTCCACCCCAGGATGAGTTAGTAATATTGATATACCAGAAACTCTTGCCATTTAAC